TAAACACTCCTGCAGACTTGTTTCCATACTTTTCCACAATCTGCCAACATACATATAGGAAAATGTTCCCAAAAAACATACACACTTATAACTAGCTGTATTTAAATGAAAATTTTATCCAGTCTGTTTATCTAGATTATAAATTCAATCTGTTGGCTTTAAAAGAGTGACTAGCTTTTAGTTTCTCCACACAATATCACACTTGAATCAAACATTACGGTACATGGATGAATAGTGGCAATTGAATCGAGTGGGGTGCAATTTGGGCTGAAATAATATGCATTATTTCAAAATTACATGAACGTGCAGTGCGAGGTCAATTTGAGATCACAAGTATGATTTCAGACCAAAATTGCATGACATGAGGATTAATATCACTTTATTACATCTATTTTGAAATCAACCAAACACAGGACTTATTCAGTTCAAATAGTTTATTAATGCAATACTGAGCTGGTTTGAAATTGAATTCATCCATTTTTTGGCAGGAAAAAATAAGAGTTTTGGAAACAAAAGTTGCAAAATTTGCCATGTAAAGGGCATGAAGGGTTCATCATAAAAGTCACCAAAGGGGAAGCCCCCATCACATTACATAGTTGTCATATTTTTCTTCCAAATTACTGACCATTTTGAGAAATAATTTATATTATGTAGGTGCAAATTTCAGAGATGATTAAGCCTAATTACAGTATCTAACAAAGATGCAACTCCTAAATCAACTTCTATATTGTATATTGAGGATTTTAAATCAATATACAAATAAAACTTGGACATTGCTGAGAAACCAAATTGTTGGTGTTCTACTACATCATGCACAAAGGAAATGGAGCTATAAATGTACAGTGTATATGTTACCTGCTGGTCTTCTGTTAAGATGACAAGGGGCATAGCTTGGTTTAAATGATTATAATAATACCATTGTAAATGCACCTTCAAAGAAAAAGGAACCTCTCTTGAGTATGGAGATAAAAAAAAAACAACAAAACAAAAGTCAAGGTTTACTAGAAAACTTTGTACATCAAATGAATATGAAAAGATAATAAAAAAAATAATGTTGTGGTTTGAATTGTTTTTTTTGGGCATTTTCTTTTTCTTATAGAAGTTCTGACTGCAAAAATTATTGTTGTGCCTTGAAAGCTTATGAAATCACTCTGCTGTCAAAACTGCCAGGTTTTTTTTTTAAACAAAATTTTTAATAATTGACCATACTTCTCATCTTTAGTGAAAAAAACAATAACAAAAAATAAAAAGTCACACATTTTATATCAGTCTATGTCCTCAACATAGCTTCACCTCCATTGCCAATCTTCCAAAGTTTCCCTGGGCTCCCTGGGAACATAGGCCCCATCACAGAACTCTTTACTGACTATGATGCTCTGCTGCCTGTTATCGTTCACAATATCTTTTAATTGAGAGTGAAGTTTTCTCCCTCCTTGATGCTGAACCTATGAAAACATTTACAGAAGTGCTTCAGGTACAAGTGCAGTGATTGACTTATAATTAATTAAACACTTATCTGCTACAAAATATCCATCTACATTCTGCAAAATACACAAAAAGGTGTTCTGTGCTTACATAATTGACCACTGTTTCAAAGAAAATTTCTCCTTGAAGTTCTGCACTCTCAAATATTTCAAGAAACCTGAAATAAAACACCAAGGAATGATAACTCAAGGAAATTAACCACATAGTTTGGCTTAATTGTGTGTTGTTCTTGTCCTGACACAATTATTTATTCTTCATTTTTTTTTTAAATTCAAAACTTGAATGCCTTCACCGTTCAACCATCACATCAGTGCTTGTAATTAACTATTAGTAAATTCTTGCAAACTAAAATACCTGAGGATCTAAGGATATCAATTTGAATTCCAAATCAAACCTCGTCAAATGCCCATTGCCTGTTTGCAGAGCATGGGCATTTGCAAAGCATTTGTGTTTTTTTTCTTTCTCACCATCCTTTTCACACTGTAGAATCACCGGTAAAAGTGAAGAACAGTTCCTAAAGATACTGTCAGCCAACTGTCGGCCAACAGTTGGCTGACCATCGGCCGACAGACAGCCAAGAGACGGTCAACCGTTGGCCAACAGTTGACCAGCAGTCGGCCGTCTGTTGGTAACCTGTTAGTGACCTGTTGGCAATGTGTTACTAATACCCTTAATACCTTTGATGGATGGCTGTCAGGAAAAAGTTTAAGCCTCAAGAAAAGCATAGGTTCGGAAGGTTCATGCGATACGTCAGGGCATAATACTTGGAACCCCACAAGTATTTTTCGAGTTAGTAACCAAAAAAAGCTGGCTACAGTTTTGAAAGATGCAACTTCATACTACAATCGACTACTAACTTCTACAAAGCCTTCGTCTCAAATGCTATCTTTCGCCATAGTTTTATTTCATCAAAGAACTGCTCGCACAATGAAGTATGGTGTTATACGGAAATATTGCTGGAAGGTTTACTCTGCACAAGTCTAACAACGCTTAGGCCAAGATCAGTTAAAGTGCGGTAAACAAACTCAACTT